AAATCCTGTGCAAACAATAATTCCAAGGAGTAACGTTTGTAAAAATTCTAGAGGCTTTTATAATGAATAAAGCCAAAGCCACAAGTGGTTCACAATCAACTGTTTTAAAACAATCCTGTGTTTTAAAATTTTAGACCTTCGTATGATTCAAGTATATTGGATTGCAATCCTCCATGAAGCAAATCCCACTGAAGCAGAAACTTATGAACAAAGACACCTTCTTCCCAGTAAGCTTACTGTGAGAAGACCTTCTCCCAGTAAGCCTTATGACCAAGTGAGGATTCAAACCTCTGTCTCCCAGGTCCTAGTCACAGTTCCCTCTAAACTGTGCTAGGGGGCACTGGTGCATAACAGTTCAGAGGGCTGCTCAGAGGATTTTAGCTTCAACTCACAACATTTTTTCCCTTCCATAGGAAACAGTGGAGGCTTGGGGCACCTCCTTCTGGGGCCCACAGAATCAGATGCCCTGGTGTAGTTTGGTGTAGTGATTAAGTGCGCGGACTCTAATCTGGGAGAGCTGGGTTTCATTTCCCACTCCTCCACTTGCAGCTGCTGGATGACCCTGGGCAAGCCATAGTTCTGTCAGAGCTGGCCTTGAAAGAGCAGTTCTTGAAAGAGCTCTCTGAGCCCCACCTACCTCACAGGGTGTCTGTTGTGGGGAGGGGGAGGGAAAGGAGTTTGTAAACTGCTCTGAGACTCCAAGTGAAGGGCGGGATACAAATCCAATCTCTTCTTCTTCCAATCTTTTTGAAACTTGGGGGAGGGGTTTGAGGAGAGGCACCAGCAGCTATGCTGCAAATTTGGTGCCTCTGCCTCAACACACACACACACCTCCGAGCCCTAGGTACCCTGTAAGGGTTAGGACTTGTAGATTTTGAGGCTTCCATTAAGTGCCAGCAAGCTGTAAGTTTTTACAGGTAGTTGCAGCCTGTTTGGGCCGAGCATTAATTAAAAGCACCTGGTGGCCTTGACCAGCTGGCAGAAGACGCCTTTATCTGGTTGCCAGCTAACAACAGAAATTAATCTAACTATGCCCTGATTGGCTGAAGGGGGCTACCTAACGGGGTGGCAGCCATACCAGGGAGGTCAGAGGTTGAGGCCTCTATGACTTCAAGCTGGAATGCTGAGGACTATTCTCATTGGAGTGGATTCTCTTTCTTAAGCCTTCGGGTGAGAAAGCCAGGTCGGAAGATTACCCCAGGTGAAGGAAGCCAGCAAGAAGTTAATGCTTCAGGCTCAGCCTCTGCCCAGCACAAGTACAGTGTTGTTGTTATTGCCATTGCTGTCATCTGTGAGTGGTTTCTGCCAAGCAAACACTCTTGTTTTGCTTTTTTTAATATAAAAACTGTGATACAAAATGGCGACTCTCTGACCACCGTTATACAATGAATAATATCATAAAAAGTATGTATACAATAATAAAAGAAATCTCGCTTAGGAAGTCTAGGCTAACAAAATACCAATAATTTGTATTTGGCTTTAGAAATGGTTTCCCAATCAAAGGTGTCAATGTCTATTTTATCTAAAATGGGGTACCAGATATTTAGAGGATTAGTAAAGTCACTCTCATTTTGATTATTGGAATGATAAATTGAAAAATTGTCCAACATAAATAAATCCCATAATTTATACCACCACTGAGTTATATTTGGCACCTTAGTATCTTTCCAAAACCTTGCAATTAGAATTTTAGCCGCTGTGGAAAGAATACTGATTAATTTTTTCACTTTTTCAGGAGGACCGTCAGAGGGCCACAATCCAAGGAGAACAGCCAGCGAAAAAGGTAAGTTGTAGTTCGTTATTTTGTGAATACAGTCTATTACTTGAATCCAAAAACTTTGGATAAATTTGCAGGACCACCAGTTGTGAAAGTAAGTTGCTTTAGAACCGCAGTGTTTCCAGCACTGCAGTGACATGGTGGGTATCATATGCGCTAGTTTAGTTGGTGTTAAGTAACAACTAAACACTCTTCGTTATTTGAGAGACTCGAATAAATACAGAGGAATTTTAATCTGCTGTGTTAGGAGTACTGCTGAGCATCTGTTGCATCCTCAAAGGGAACCTAGATGTAAATGAGCCTCAGTAAAGGGCCAGGACTTGGTGAGAACCCCAAAAGCCACAGGTGGCTGTGAGCTCAGCACCTGAGAACAAGAGAGGGATTGTCCTTGGTCCAGACATACCCCCAGATCAATTCTCCATTACAGCCAGAATCACCGGGTTTTTTGCATACTCCTGTTATGCTTTTCAGTATGACTTGTAAGCTGCCTTGAGTCACAGGGAAAAGTGGGATATAAATAACTGAATAAAGAAGTAGTTTGGGCCAGTTAATAACATTTAAATAACTTCCTGTTTGCCAGGTTAGGCAGAGTTCTGACAGAGAATGTTCCACCTCTGTTATACTTGACCTGTAATGCTGGTTGTCATATTTCACTAAAAAAAAACCAAAACACCAAACCAGACTGCAAGAGTTTTTTCTCCACTATGTGCAGGTATGTTTTTTAAGGGTCAGCACAAGGTGACAGTCCAATACAGTGGACTGTGGCAGGTAGACCTGTTCTTGGGAGGCCAAGTCTACCAATACAGTAGAAAGGGGTGGGCAGACCTGTTCTCTGGAGGCCTGGTCTACCCCTGTAGAGGACAACATTTTGTGTAATGAAATTTGACTTGATTCTGTTGTCTCTTATAATATTTAAATTATTCTTAAAATATAGCTTAAATTCTCAATTAAGACTTTGTTGGAAAAACTGCAGAGAGGTAGGCACGTATGCACATTGCTGGTGGCAGTGCACAAAAATTAGACAATTTTGGCTGGATGTACTGAATCAAATATGCTCACTCTCAGGTTACTGTGTTCCTTTTACACCTGAAGTCCTGTTCTTGAAGTACTGGCCTTAAACTACAATTCCTAAAATTAGAAAAGATCTAATCTTCACTTTACTAGTGGCAGTGAAAACAGGTATTTCACTCAATTGGAAAAATAAGTCAGCTCTGATGCTGGCATTATGGCATTGTAAAATCTGGGAACAATTTGTGATGAAAAAATATCAGCTGAAATATTACATTATGACCCACACTCTCCACGCTTTAATTTCACTGAAAAATGGTATATTACACTGGAATATTTGGCTGAACAAGAGGTTATTCCAAGTGAACTTAAAGCTCTGAGTTTACTGCACCTATAGACAAGTACAGGTACCAAGAAAACTGCATTGCTGGTACTATTAAACTAATATCCTACTGTACCTAACAGTAAGTAATGGTATGATAAGATATAATCTGCCTTTTCCTTTGCAGATATTCAATATATACTTAACTCAAGTTGACAGGTACATTTTATTCTATTTTTACTTCTCTATGTTTGTTCAATTGAATGTTTTATTGATTGTGATTTGAAAATCTTAATAAAATGTTTGGAAAATATATATATATAGTTTAAACATACTTTAAAAGAATTCATTCTGAGATGTTTACAAGGTTATGGAAATAATCTAAAAATAATTTATGCAAAAGTCAAATGTAGACTCGCTCACAACTTTAACGCTACTAGCTTTTTTCGCTCATGAGATTGTTTTTGCTCACAACACTGTGGAGCTTAGAGGGAACATTGGTCCTAGTCCTATACTCTAACCACTAAACCACATTAACTTTCAGTTATCTCAGATAATCAGCTAAATGACCCACTGGGACTAGGAACAAGCTTCTCCGGGATTTAAATATGCATCCAGATTTTTGCTTGCAGACTATCAGCAATTCATAAGCATCATCGATGGCATAAATTCTCTTGCATGGTATGGGGAGGTTTGCCATGGGAGGCCATAAGGTTGGTAGTTTCAATGGCTAAACGGAAGACCAGTCAACGCTGAGAGATACCAGTGACCTTATGCACTGACTGACCCATCCACTGTGCATATTTGACAGCTATTGAGCAAGAAGGGAGAAGGGTTCAAAGAACAAGTGGTGGCAGTGGAGGAAGTCAACGCAAAACAAACTGTGCAACAGAACTGAACAATGGTATGATGTCAGTGAAGCTCAGAATCAAAAGATTTGTGGCCTTAACCCAGCAGACAGCATGCATACTCCACCTGAACCATGTATGCACTGATCCAGCAAGTTTCAAGAGAGGATTGTCACTCACAGGAGGCCATCTCCAAATAAGATGGAGTTGCTGAAACACAGGGCAGCTATCTTAGCTCACTTCCATGGCCTGTTTCATTTTGCTACAATAGATTTAACATGGATACCCTTCTGGGGAAAAAATCAGGGCTCGACAGTGTGCTTTTGCTGTAAAGTTAAAAAAAATATTAATTACCGTAATCTCTCTAAGTCTTTGAATTTGGCAGGAATAATGTATTCAAAGGGAAACAGGATACAGCATCCGCAGAAAGGGTACAGAAGCTGTTCTCCCTCTCCTGTGATATTAGAATGAAAATAAAGGGAAGCAAATTCAAGGGCAAAATGGGAAACTGACCTCTGGATAGGATTGCCAGTCTCCAGGTGGTGGCTGGGGATCTTCTGGGATTACAACTTGATTTCCAAGTGACAAAGATCAGTTCACCTGGAGAAAATGGCCATTTTGGAATGCGGACTCCATGTCATTATGCCCTATTGAAATCCCACCCCTCCCTAAACCTGTCCTCTTCAGGTTCCACCCGCAGAATCTCCAGGTATTTCCTAACCTGGACCTGGCAACCCTACCTCTGGAACTCATGTTCACAATATATGGTGATGGTATGACTGAGTTAGTCGAAACCACTGTCACCTGAGAGGATCCATTGGTAGGGGAAGACCGTGGCCATCGGGCCCTGGCGCATTTGTCAAAAATAGGATGCTCGCCCGCTGGCCTGATCCAGCATGCCTACTTTTGTGTCCTTGACCTTGGCATGCGTAGGAACAAGCCCCTCAGACGAGCCCCTCGCCCCGGGAAAAGGCGTAGAGGGTGGTGGCCTTCGTTTCGACCTCCCTCCCCCACGCGACGCGCTCCTTGCAGCCACGCGGAAGGAGCCAAAGTCCAATTCGCAACAAGCCGTCCGAGCGCCCCTTCGGCTGTCCTTCCCTCCGCCCGCCGCCGATTTAAGGGCCGCTCAGAGGAACTCCGGGCTCCATTCGGATCTTGGCTCCCTCCCCGCCTCCTCGGGAGCGGCTGGGGCGCATGGAGAGGGCCGCGGCAGGCGCCGGCGCCATGACGGCCCTGCACGCAGCTAAGCGGGCTCTGCGAGCGGAGCTGAAGCGGCGCCTCCGGGCGCTGAGCGAGGCTGAGAAGCTGCGCCAATCGCGCCTGCTGGGGGCCCAGGTGGGTGACTGGCGGGCAGGCGGGCAGGCGGGCAGGCGGGCGGGCAAGCGAGGCAGGGCGGCGGGCGGGCAGGAAGGCAGCAGGCCCCCCGCCGCGGCTCTGGCTCGGCCCGACCCTCCCACTCTCGCCAGTGCCCGGCGA